GCGGTTCAATCCACAGTGCTCCGTTCTGCCTGCCTGCCTGCCTTCTTCGTTTCAGAGCAGCTTCGGCTGATAAAAAGAGGCGAACAGTTATTATTCTCACCAGAAACAAAGAAGGCAGGCAGGCAGGCAGAACGGAGCACTGTGGATTGAACCGCGCGCAGGCGGGCGGGGTGGGGGTGAACGGGCGCTTCGGAGGTGCTGCGGCGACAGGAAAAGCCACTCTCCCCCGGCTACTTTGAAGCAGTTTCTTCCTGGGGTGGTGGAGCAGCGAGAGAGCGACTGAGAGAGGAACGAGGCGGGAGGAAACCGAAGCCGCTGAGCCAGAGAGCAGGACAGGCTTTGGTTGCTTCCTCCCTCCCCTTCTCTCATTTGTGTCCTTGATCCCCGATCCCAGCAGCATTCACCGAAGGCGAAGAAAGCCGCCATTTTTTTAAAAAAAAAATTCTTTGCGGCCCAGTACAGAGTGCTCCACGGACCGGGACCGGTCCGCGGCCCGGTGGTTGAGGACCCCTGCTCTAAATGATTACAAGGCTTTGTTCTCAATATAGAATGTTTGCAGACACTTGCAGTGACTTGTGTTATGGCATTCTGCACTACAGGCATTAAGGGAAAAGGTAGAAGTAGCATGTATTTATAAAAAGTGTATATATTAAAAAGATAATAGCATTTGGAAAGAAAAACACAATGGTGAGGTCCTGGAAACAAACATGAAACATAGATAACATTTCCTGTTTCTGATAACAGAGTTAAGTATACAGTAGATTTGGGAGGGCCTCAGTCTTTGCATAAGTATTCAAATTCTTTAAGGGGGCGGGAAACGCCTTTGCAGCATCTCACAGATAGCAACCATATCACTGGTAAGATTCTAATAGGATTGTGCCACTATGTATGGAAAGAACCATTCATAAGGATTATTTCTGCCCACTTTTTCACTGTCTATTTTGAAAGAAATATTAACAGATCTAAATGTGAGCAGAGGATCCATACACATGAGAACTACTAATTACCAAAATTTTCTATTTCTTCAAGGTAAATTTTTGAAGCACGGTGTCTACTAAAGGTAGAATCTTTTTGTTTAAATTTTAAATTTTATAACATATAGTATTTTTAGGTACAGAAATTCTTGCAAAAAGCAAATGAAGATGTGAAAATTGGATCTGAAGGTAGAGTCTATCATACTTCTACCAGCAGTGATTCAGATGAACAGGAAAATGCCTCTCACTCAAAGAATTTGAGTCTCCAAAATTGTGACTTGCTATATCCTAGTTCAGATATCCAGGAACTTGATAGTATTGAAGAAAAAGGCAAAGAAAAGCTGATAGGAGAAGAAGTTCCATTAGGAAGAGAACTCATTCCCCTGGATATTCCAGACTATCTACAAATGGAAACAGAAGGTATGTGGAATTAAAAACAATGTGTTTATAGATGTACATAGTTGTATAGTGCAGGGGTCTCCAACCTTGGCAACTTTAAGATTTGTGGACTTTAGCTCACAGAGTTCCTCAGCCAGCTTTGCTAGCTGAGGAATTCTGGGAGTTGAAGTCCATAAGTCTTAAAGTTGCCACGGTTGGAGACCCCTGGTATAGTGCATAGACAGGAATGTTATAAGAAAAAACCAATTTACTAATAACAAATGGTAATTTTCTAGTTAGGTTTTTCTGGGTGGGATTTTCTGTTTTCCATTTTTAAAGGGTCATACTATCCTTACATTTTATACAGCCATTTAAATATCCAATGAATTTATGCTTTCTTACTATAGTAGATGCTAATAATTTAGCACATAACAGCATAGAAAATTCTAGAATATTGTCTTACAAGATGAAGTGAAATTAATTCCTTGGTGTTCTTAAAGGTATTTTTTTAAATGTTCTTTTTTTAAAAAAAAAAATGATTTTCTTTTTTACTTAGGTGAAGCAAATACTATGAAAAAGAAGAAAAATAAAAAGATGCAGAAATGGAAAAACAGAAATGTGAAGTGCCTTCCTCACAAAATAGCCAATGATCCTGAGCTGACTAAATACTGGGCACAACGATATAGACTGTTTTCTCGTTTTGATGAAGGGATTCAGTTAGATAGAGGTAAGTTTATAATGATACTGCATTCTATGACCTAAAAACTAATTTCAAGTTCTCTGATGAATCACTCACATACATAATTGCTGTTTGATGCTGTGGTCATTTTATAGGTTTGCAATTAATGAAGAGCTAGTACCCCTTCCTATTTTTGTGACTTATTGTGAACAAGCACCAAACTGGTAGTCCTCAACTTTTTGTTTGTTTAGTGACCAAAGTTACAACAGCACTGGAAAAAGTGACATTTTTCACACTTAGAACCGTTGCAGCATCCCCACGGGCATGTGATTTACATTTGGATGCTTGACAACTGGTTCATATTTATGACGGTTGCAGTGTCCCGGGGTCACTTGACAATCTCTTGCAACCTTTTGACAAAGGTTGTAAGTCGAGGTTGTAATTAATTATGGTTGTAAGTCGAGGATTACCTGTACATACAGTCTGTTCAGTTCTCATGAGAAGAAAGTTAGCCAAATACCAGTGTCCTACTGTGATGCTCAACTATGTCAATCACAGAATTCTCAGCAACATAAGCCAACAAAGGTTAGCATTGTTTCTGTAGTCCAAGACTACGAGAGCAGGGTGCTGGATTCAAGCATTACAAGAAACTGCCATGGGAAAGGAAAAACTGATGAGAGGAACACATGAGCTGGGTATATTTGCAGACTTCTTATACATACAGTATGTCAGGAGAACCAGGAATTCTAATTTCTTATTACATGCCAGTGTGGCTGGCTGTTCAGTATGGAACCTAAAAATCTGCCTCCTGGGAATTAGGAGATTGAGCAAGGGATGCCTTTGTGTGATTCTGCAGGGCAATTTTACACTTGTGTTCTTAATTAATACAACTATGTATGGCTATTCGATAAAATGCAGTTGCACTGATGTAGTTGATTATTTGATTTTGAGGTTCTTTTCTTTTAAGGCCATATCATAAATACATTAACTGCTTTTTTATTAGAGGGATGGTTTTCCGTAACACCTGAGAAGATTGCTCAACACATTGCAGACCGTGTAAAGCTATCCTTTGACTCTGACATAATAGTAGATGCCTTTTGTGGTGTTGGGGGAAATGCTATTCAGTTTGCCTTGGCAGCAAAAAGAGGTAAATTCTTTAACTTGGTTTGAACTTTACTAGATATTTCATAGCAGCAATAATGGATTGCTAGTTCAGGATAAGTATTGTTCCCATTTAGTGTTTCTCAACCTGGAAACTTTAAGATACTTGGATTTCAACTCCCAGAGTTCCCCTGCCAGCATTCTAGCTGGGGAATTGTGGGAATTGAAGTCCAGGTGTTGCCCTGTTTTAATTGTTAAAAAAAAAAATCACCCTTCAAAAATTTTCAGTTTATTAATCTATTCTGGTTAAACAACTACAAATGTAGGCGATAACTGTAAACAATATATTTTTAGCTACAGCTAGGCTAGTTACTATTTTTCTAGAAAGTATCTGAAATTTTCTATTTCATGGATTTTTTTTTAAGCTGCTAATATTTAAAATTGTTTCATCTTTTCAGTAATTGCAGTTGACATTGACCCTGGGAAGATCCAACTTGCTCACAATAATGCCATGGTTTATGGAGTGGCAGACCAGATAGAATTCATATGTGGTGATTTCATGAAGCTGGCATCCAGTCTGAAAGCAGATGTTGTGTTTTTGAGTCCTCCCTGGGGTGGGCCTGAATATGCTGCTGCAGAAATCTTTGATATTCAAACAATGATTTCTCCTGATGGATATCCTTTTTTAAAAATCATTTTGTTGTAACCCTAAAGGTAAAACTGATATTATTTTCCTTTGAGTGACAAAGCTCTGTATTTTAACGTTAGGCTGTAATAGCACAGTGGTTAGAATGCAGTACTGCAGGCTACTTCTGCTGACTGCCGGCTGCCAGTTTGATTTTCACAGGCTCAAGGTTGACTCAGCCTTCTGTCCTGAGGTCGCTAAGATGAGAACCAGATTGTTGGGGGCAATATGCCGACTTTAAATTGCTTAGAGAGCGCTGTAAAGCACTATGAAGTAGTATATAAGTTTAAGTGCTATTGCTATTGCTATTTGTTTCTAATCAACAGTGATCTTCTTTAATGGAATTAAGGATATTAGGTGTGATCTTTGTAGCTTAAAAAGAAATTTGTATAATTCTTGTTAAAAGTGGCAAAGCAGATGATAAAGTTGCAGATTGATATCTGTGTACCAGTGGGAAGAGATTTCTAACTTGAAGAGAAGTGAACAATGTGGTAAATAAAAAGCCATATACAAATAAAGGAAAATATTTGTAGCTCAGGGTTGAAATGGGTCTTTGGTGTGCTCTGATGATATTACCTAGTTTGGGTAATGAAATGTCTGCAAGAAAACAACCAAGCTCAGATAGCATCAAGGACGCCTCAAAAAGTCACAAAACTTCTTTTTGTTTGCTTATTATTATAATAGATGTCAAAGGAAGTATCAGTAAGATTTTTAGTGTATTTTTTTAATCATTTCTCATGGAGGTTTTGCATTCATTATGTGAACTACAGTATTTGAAGCTGTCTAATTTTGTACAAAGTTTTGAAAAATGAATTTTAAGTCATCTGAAAGATTTGTATGTTTGCTTTTAAAATTATCAGATTTAACAGTTTTTGTTCTTATAAAGTTGCACATTTTGTATATTGTATAGTAAGTTCTATCTGTAAAGTAAAACAAATAGTATTAATAGCATTAAATCAGCTCATAAAGCTGAAAGATTTCAGATGCTATGCAAATCTTACAATGAACCACTATTATTAGCAGTGTAATAATATTGTCCAGATTAGCATGCTTCAGTTTTGTTTTAAGTAAGTCCTTTATTGGAAATCAGGCTATAGAAACGAACAAATAAACATGGTAGAATGCACTAATTCATTTCAGAATGCAGTATAATGTCAACGAAAATGAGGTAGAAAGAATAGAAGTAAAACATTTCTATAATAAGGAACTTACGGAAATTATTGTTTTTGAGCTAACTTAACCATTCCAAGCTGATAATACCTGCTCTTTCAATATGGGTTAATTCATAAGTCCCCATCAGTTAAAAAGGAAGCAAGTTCAAAAGCTGGTTTTCCCATTCTGGCTCAGTTTTCTATTTCTATTTCTTGAACAGATGAAAAATGCAATAAATCCTCCCAAGGATTATTCAGTAAAAATAATTCTTATTTAGATTATGATTAGATAAAAATATTTGGAATTTAGTTTTTATATGTGGAAGGATGTATATTTAAGAAAGTTGTCTTGCTGTAAGAACCATTGCAATATAACATTTGGTTTTTTTCTTAACACAATTTTACATTTGAAATTTTTAACCTGTCCCAGAAGATTACCAACAACATTGTTTATTTTCTTCCACGTAATGCTGACATAGATCAGGTGAGTTATAAATTATAGATAAAATGAATACGTTTAGTTAGAAATTAAAGTGTAAATTAGTTTTCTGGTCTGTTTGTAAATTTGTATAATGTGATGTTATTTTTCTTGCGTTGTTTTTTTAACACACTTTGCAGAGGTTAGGATGTATGCTGTTCAGAATCATTTGCAGATTGATCTATAAATTCATCCAACTAAACAAAATAAATTTTCATCTTACTTGGTAATTATAGCTAAGCTTCTCTCTGTATTTCTTCTTGCCTCTATTTCAAAACTTCAGTAGGGAGATGGAATTGGCTTTCTCTTCAGAACTATTATGAAATTCCAAGATAATGTAGATTGCCTAATCTTGGTATAAAGTATATAACCGGTAGTGTACGTATCTATTTTTGATGCAGAACAAGTGCTTATTTTTCACATTTTACACCAAACAGAATCAAGGTAGAGTTATTTTGAATCTCTTTGACTCTCAAAATTCTTGCATATTTTGTCCTAAAGGTTCTAAAGACTCTTGTATTCCTCTACTAAACTAACTTTTGCACTCCCTACACTCACTATTTACACTTTAGAAAAAGACTGGGAAGAATGGTAAAACTGAATGGCTGTGTTTTGAGGTCTGTTCTGTGTCTGTTATCAACATTCCCTATTTGTGACATATGTAGCATTGACTTTCCAGTTTTGTTATAGTTTAAATTGTAGACATGTAAATATCCTCCTGTGGGTTGTCAAAAACAAAACAGTTATTATCCGGAATTAAAACATAGCTTGGTATGTATACTTCTGTTTTTTTTTTACAGCTATCAAAACTTGGTTTCTTTACATTTCCACTAGAGGGAGTAGCAATTCCAAAAATATGTAATGTGAAGATTTATTATATTTTAAAACAGAATAAATGGACTGTTCAGACCATGTTTGGACACATTTGGAGCAAAACTGGTTGGAGTTAGATAAATGCTAAAACCATGAGAATGTTTGCAGGCACTGTAATACATGTTTAACATAAATTAATTTGTTTTAAAAGTTCAGAGATGTAGTGCTTTAGTAGATAAGGAGTGTGAAACTCAAGTTCTGTCCTATCCTGAGCCACCAAAACTCAGTAGATAACTTTGGGCCAGTCACTCTTGGTTTGTTGTTGTCGGAAAAAGTAGGAGAAAGCAGTGTCTATACCAGGGGTGTCCAACCTGGGCAACTTTAAGACTTGTGGACTTCAACTCCCAGAACTCCTCAGCCAGCAAAGCTGGCTGAGGAATTCTGGGAGTTGAAGTCCACAAGTCTTAAAGTTGCCAAGGTTGGACACCCCTGGTCTATACTGTCTGGAGTTTTTGAAATTGTTGGGATAGCTGATAGTGAAGCAGAATAGCATTCCATGCTATAAAACTGTTATTTAAATGACAGTTTATTCACTTTGATCAAGCCTATCAAATGAAAGAAATGTGTAGTTCATTGCAATCCCAAAATAGATAGTAATGGACTCTAGATTATTCTCTAGGATCTTGAAATTTTCCAAGTTTGTATAAAATTTAGTAAAACCTATTGAGATTATAACTTCTGTACTGTAATTACAAAATTTTCAGACAAATCAATATTTTATTAAGACCAACAGCCAAAAACTTTGACAATCAGAAGTTACTAACATAGGTTACATTGAGTATGTCCCATTACTTACGGCATTATTGCTCCGACGCAAGCAGTAATTACAGCCAGTTCTCTTTTTGCAGAAGTGCAGATGATTGTGAAAATGTTTTATGGGAAGCTTCCATAAAGAAGTTTACAAGATTCAAGACCTTGAAATCAGCAATTGTGGTCTTAGATCATTTCATAAGTGTTAATACTTTTGATTTTATTCATTTATTAAATGTATGTAGTGCTATTATCATACAATTCTCAATGGTAGACATGCATAAAATATCCACAGAACAAAAAAACATAATCAGAAATAAAAACAACTGGTGTAAAATCAAAAATAGAAACACAGAAAAAGAAAATTCACAAGATGGTATCACCTTCATTAAATTTAAAAGGAAGCCCTCCAGAAGACCATCAATGTCAGAGCAAACTGAATGTCCACAGAAAAGATGTTCCACACAATGAGAACGATATTGGAGAAACAGCTAATCCTGGCCTAGTGCCCTACTCTGTCAACTTGCCAAGTGATGTCTGAGAAAGGTGGATTGTAGTTGGAGAGGCTGTCCTGGAGCCATATATTGCTTTATAGGTCAAAACAAGCATTTAAAATTGCATGTGGAAACCAGGAAACCCTGGTTATCTTTGTAGGGCCTGCAGCAAAATTATAACATGCTGCTGGCACAATGCTGTTGCATTTTTGCTAATTACCTTTAAAGGTAGGGTAACTAAAAATGCAATTTCATAATAACAGGAACATGAGTTACTGTTGTGAATTACTTTCCAAAAGGAATGCTGCTTTGTGCTCTGGGGCTCCAGATGGTTGAGGGGCTAAAAGCCCTGTTGACTGCAGATGGCATAACCACCTGGTCAGCGATATGATAAAGAAACATCCCGAATATTCTAAAGCAGGAGAACTCTAACCATATAGCACTTATTTCCCATAAACATATTCAAATTTGGGACTGAATCCCCTGAACTCCCTACTAGTTGTCTATTCTGTGACTGTAAAAAGTGGATCACCAGTTAATATGTAAAAGTGTAATATTAATAATTAAAACTTGAACTGAACTCCATTATGAGTTAAAAGAATAGAACTACATAGTTTCTACAACACTCATAAGCTAAAAATAAAAAGCATGTCATTTAAGTATAATCAAATTGCTTAATGCAGAAATAGATAATGAGGATCTTGAATGCTTTTTTGCTGCCCCAATTCTTTTTATGGGTCCCAGAAACCCCTCAGACCACGCTTGTGGAAATTCAACAGCACGTTTCCAACCATTTTAGAAAGGAAATATTGTACATATGGTAACATAAGCCCTAAAATAGGATTAATGTCCTTAAAATCAAAATACTTATATGTGCTGTGTCACTCCATATATGTTTATACAGTATTGCATCTGCATAGCAATTTTGAGACTTAAGTCCAATTTATTTGGTGGGAAAAGCTATCAAATAGAATAAAATTTTGTTGACTAAACATGCAGGAACAATTGAGTGCAGTTATCTTTTGCACTAAATTGAGTAATACTGTACACAATTTCTCTAAAAAGAATTGTGTAATACAGAAGTTCCCCTTACAGTATTAAATGTCAAAGTTCAGTGACCTGTGAAGAATCCTGAATTATAAACTCTCCTAGTGGTATTGTGTGATATATATCTTATTGACACAAGGAGCAGGAGAGTAACTATTGAATAGCTAGCTAGTATTCTATAATCAGGTGGTGCAATTACCTGGCACAACTGAGATTTTAGTTTAGGCTGCACTTACAAATAATGGGCATTCATAATGGCCCAATGGTTAAAATGGCTAGGTACAATTTACACTGTTTCAGCAGTTCAATTAAGGAAGTTTTTCTGAGGTTTGTTTAAGGTAATAATGTAAAAGTCACTAAACTTTTATTGAAGCAACAACAGCACATACACAAATAGAACAATTTAAGGAGGCTCAAGATAGTGTAGCATATTTTATGATCACTTGTACCTTCAGTAAGAATTCTGGAATGGATGGACCATCACAGAGAAGGTCTATATGGATGCTAAGAGTCAACACAGATTTGATGGCACATGAGAATGAAAATATACCTTCCCAGTATATTGAGTGTATATTGACTCAATATATTGAGTCAATATATTGACGGTATATTGACAGTGTAACAAACAATTTCTGATATTGTTTAAACTTTGAATCTGGAATTTTTCTTTGGGGATTTTTTTGTTTTGTTTTAAGCAGTTTTTTAGATGGCCGACTACTTCTACTTTTGCATCCCAGGGTAATTGTGTGAAAAGAATCACACAATTTATTTTAAAAATAATATTCATCTCTTCATCACTCTTCATAGCTAGATTTTATTTTTAATAATCATTTAAACAGAGAGAAAGTTCAGTGCATTTAAACTTGTGTTTAAGTCTTAAGAGAAGAAAAAGTGAAAAATGTCATATAACAGTTAGGAGTTGATTAAATGTAAAATACAAAAAAATCAGAATTATTTGGTCTTTTATACATTTGACTGTAAACAAAATTTTAAAGAAACTCTTCTAAGTAGTAATAATGGAAGTGGCAAATAATACAATGAATATATTCTACGCTGACTAGTTTTTGTACTAAATAGAAATGTTAATAATTTTATGAACATCAATAAATTGTCATAGATAGTTCTTAACTTTCAAACAGTTTAGCAAAATTCCATTTGTGTTGGCTGATTTGCCATCCTTTTCTTCCCCCAGATCCTTTGATGAACTTATTCATTGGTCATTGAATCTTTTTAAATTCTAATTATTTAGCTATTATAATATATTGTACCAGTTAATACCTTAATTACATAATGTATACATAAAATACTTCAGTGTACAATGTGTAATTAATTTATAATATTATTACATTTATCCTGTATTTCCTGAGTAGATACTTTCTAAACTAATACTTTAGCAAATCTTTGGGATTGGAGTTTTCAAGTTTTAATGCTTTGGGTTTTATATCTTTTCCAAGTCTTTCTTGCCTATCTCTTGCCTCTTTCAAAATTATTTTGTTTTGTTTTTTTTAAAAAAGCCTTCATGGTTTTTATATTTCCTGCTTCAATATATTACTTCTTGTTTTTTGGTTTCCTTCTGTGGGACTGACTGGATGCTGAAAAGGCAAATATTCTTTTTTTTTCCTTTACAGAAAGATAGAGGTTGGGGAAAATCTATTTTGACTACATTCTTGCACAAGGATCTTTTGTGACATAGATGGGGGTTGATACTATGTCTGGCAGTGGGCGTGCCAGATGACATCAGAACAAACATAAAATGCTGAACACATGAGCACCTGGGCATTTCCGACAGCTTTTGCAGCCAGATTGAGCTTCCATATTCTAGAAGGAAAGTCTATATACTGTATAAAGCACTTGAATATTGAAAGAAACAAAAATTAATCAGAATATTTTGTAGCCTGCACCTTTGATGTGATGTGCTGCTATTTTTACAGCAGGTCTGAAAAAGCCTGAAATAAGGGTTAGGGATGAACAGACAAAAAGTGGAAGGGGACATAAATTTCTCTTTGACTTATTTTTACCACTTTTGATTTTTTTTTAATTGTCTTGTGCACCCAGTCAGCATGTTTGGGAAGAGGGAAAATATTTGGTACTAGTAAAGGAGAATATTTGTAGCTCAGGGTTGATATGAGGAAAATATTTTTACCAATGACCAGTTATTTCTTGAATAGGATTTTGAAATCAGTGATTGTCTGTCTATCCATTTATTATAAGTTTGGAATAAGTTCATGCTAAAAGAGATGCTGGGAAAAGGCATTATGGAAAGTTATGTAACCCTAATTCTAAAATTAAATTGCTGGTGGAAAAATGTTCCGCTTGGTAAATAATAAAGTATTACTGAAACTTATACTAGGGGTTTTCCCATAATAAATGCAACTATATCTCAAATGTCTAATTTTCTGATACTGATTTTTTTTTTTACAGGTAGCTTCCTTAGCTGGACCAGGGGGGAAAGTTGAAATAGAACAAAATTTTCTGAATAACAGATTGAAGACCATAACTGCTTATTTTGGAGATTTAATCAGACAAGATGTATCCTGACTTATTTATTAGTAAGCTGTTTATTGGGATAAAAGAGATAATCAAATTGTAATGTATCTTTCCTTTTTTTAACTTTTATTGTCAGTTTTTAATTGCAAAATGTTCCATGTTGTATTGACCTTGAGAAAACAGTGGTTTAAAATGTTTGTCACAAACATCAATAAAATATTTTATATTTTATTAATTATATTATTATATATTATTAACTTAAATATATATTTTGATAGTAAAAAGATGAGAATCAATTGAAGCAAGACTCTGTGTTTCCAATCTTACATTACTGAAATTAATCTATTTGTTTCTATCCTAATAAGCCATTTTAAATTTGGCTATGAAAAGTTTAAAAAGAGAGGAACCTGCTTTTTTCAGGCAGAGTGGAAGGAAGTTATTTAAGAACTATTTCATTTCATACACCTTTGAAATACTGCATCAATTGCTTTTCATCATCAAGTGGTCTGAGTAATGTAAAAAATTATGGAGTAATTTTATCTATGTTACCTATGAATGAAAGTTGACTGGGATAAAAGAAATTAACTATATATAACATATATACATTTCACACAAAAATTAATGAACCATTCATTTACAAATACATTGATAATTCAGTTAGCAACTGTAATTGGGACCAGAAACTCCATTGCTAAGGGATGTGATTGTAAAGTAAAAATATGCATAACTGCACAAACATACAACAGAGTTCTGGTTGTGGTCATTAAGTGAATCATACAACATAATATGACCATGACTTACGCTTTCCTGCTGTCTTCCTCTTTGACTTTTATCAGATGCCGGAAGTGATGTCACAAATGGAAATCACAAGATCATGGATGCTGTAACAGTCATCATTATGTGCTGGTTCTCAAGCAGTCAAGTTATTATCACTTGTGCACTGCAACAGCTGAAACTTCGAGGACCAATCTCCTTATTCAGCACTATCATAATTGCAAATGATTGCTAAACAAGTGGTCATTGTTCTGACCAAGGCTTCTGAGACCGTAATTACACACACGCTTAAAACAAGTCTTGTTTTATTGCAACACTGGGAATTATTTTCATTCCCAGCTGGTAATGAATCTCAATCAGTCCCATGAGATAAGTACCCACCTTTCTTTCCTGTGAAGTGCTGCCAATAATAGAACTGTCCAATGAACTAGAAAAGAAACTAAGTGAAGTACAAAGAGCTTCAAGAATGAATCTGAACTGAACGAACTACTTTGCTTCCTGCAAAGGTTTCGTCATCTTTGTCCTTTATACCTTCTGGGAGACCTTACTCCCGAGTTTCCCCTTTTGTTTTAGCTGCTCTTGCCTTTTAGCAGCTCTGCGCACACACATACTGGGGATAGGTTCCCCTGGGTTCTCTGCCTCGCTGCTTTCAGATTCCAGAGGCAGCACCACCCCATTCCCAGATGGTCCTGGCCCCATCTCTGCATTGGAGGCAGGACCTTCGTCTGAGTCCTCTCCAGACTCCCAGACTGGTCCCCATTCTTCCCAATTGTCCAATTCCGGTGCCGTCTGCACCAGCTGCCGGCGAACCACAACAGTCACTGTATAAGGACTGCCTGCCATTTTTACAGTAAACTGAGTGCTAATAGCATTGTGGATAAGAGAGTAGAAGAATTCTTTAGGTTTCTTCAGGTTTTTTTCAGGGTGGTCACAAGGTTTAGAAAAGTACATATCTTTTCAGAGCAAATACTAAAAGAAACATATTTAAGCAATAAATACTAAGCATCTATAGTAGTTATGGAATATATAGTTGAAAAAGAGAAATGGAATAGTAAAAAGAAGAAATAACTTTGCTTAAGGAAAATTCTTGGCCAGAACAGAAACATTCCTAGAAACATTTTGAAACAGTTCTTAACTATATGAAATTGATCCAATTACAGACAGGTAATTTGTCCCAGCTTCTGCTAACCTAGCAGTTTGAAAGCATGTAAAAATGGTTTGATATAAATGAAGGACAAGGAGAAAAGCTGTTCAGCTTAAGACTCCTAATATATTTTTGAAAGAAATAATATTTTAGGTAGAAATTACAAATTAGCTACAGTAGTAATTTTAATTTACAAGTGCTCAGATTTGTGGTGAAAGAAATAAGTAGACCAAAATACTGATGATTTAAATGTTTTGATAAATCATTCATCATCAGCCATTGTCTGTCCACTGCAGGATGAAGGAATCTTCTGCATGTTTCCAACACATACAATCCAGAGTTTTCTTTTGCCAATTGGGCCCACAATACTTGTTGATGTCATCAATCCATCTTGTTTTAGGTCACTTTCATGGACACTTTTAATCAAGTGGGATCCATTCTATGACTGCCTTTGTCCACCTGCCATCAGTTCTTGCTATGTGACCATCCCATTTCCGTTTCAATCCTTTTGCTCTCTTGGTGATATTGTATACTTTTGTTTGTTCTCTAATCCATGTGTAGGTCTCTATCTTGTAAAACCGAGCATGCATCTTTCTATGGTTCTTTGCGCCACTCTTAGCTTTTGTATCAACATCTTCAAATTTCAAGTGATTTAAATATGTGTCATTGATTTTTATTCCATCTTTTGCCCAGTCTAGTTTGTGAAATACTTCTTCAAGGCAGGCTGAGAAAGGGATAGGTGATATTGTATCTCCTTTTCAAATACCTCTTTCTACATTGATTTCCACTTTAAGATCATTAAGGCAAATTGTTGTCTTAATAGCTAGCATGTATTAATATCACAAGATTTTTCAAGATTTTTCAGATATACTATAGATATTTTGAACATCTTAAGATGATTACAACTTGAGGTCCTTTGATAGAATACTCCTCCACCTAAATCTCTTGTACATTAAAAATATTATAGGATTATATGTTGAATTTTGTATATAAAGATATATGGTTATCTTTAAACCCTTTGCAAATATTTTTTCATTCTATATTATGGTTCTTGACTAAAATGTTTCCCGTATCTCAATCATTAATTGAATAGATCAGCATTATATAAATATTATTACTGTAACAGAACATGATTCAGTAAAATTATTTCAAGAAAGAGCCAAGGCATTTTTTCTAGATAATATTTGAACATATATTTATTAAAGGATTTATTTTTTATAAAGATGCAGATTTGAAGAATTATCTTAAAAGTAAACATTTTGTTATGACTGCATTGTGTCTACTTCACAGCAAAGAAAAAATGAAACAAAAATAAGTGGGTAGGGAATATTATTTGGATATTATAATACAAAAGTCTAAGTGCTATTGCTACTGCTATACTGCTGTCAGCTAATGATATAAATATCACTATTTTTAAATAAAACATGCTACCTCGATCAATTTTTCTTAACTGGAATACTGAGACAAAGTTGAAGAAATCAGTTTGTAAACAATAAAGCCATTAATTAGATTATGCCATCATCATGCTATTTAACTGCAACTATATCTAATCAAATGAAAGATACAATTATTTCTATGAAAGGACCAATTGGAATGCTTAGCTAAATGTCTAGTATGAGACATTGGGAGTTCTTTCTCCCTTCAACTGGGCTTAGATACTTGATTTTGAAAGCAGATAAAAGTACTGCTGTTTTTAAGCCTATTTCCTTTTTCAATATGCAAAAATACTAACTGCATTTAGGCTATAAACAATAACCATCCTGCACATCATTCAGTTTTATCAAATTTTCTAGAACAGCTTATAGTCCTTTATTTTCCCTTTTGCTGTCTTGTTAACTGCCGGAATTTTCAGATGAAATGCATCAGTGACTTTATACCAAGGCCTAAAAAGAAGGGATTGTGTGGCTTTCTTCAGCATACTGAAATAAAAAATATCTTCCGTGTTAAACTATTTTCCTCATGGATCTTTGATTTGCAGTTAGGAAATTCAAATAAACATAGTGAAAGTAGGTAGATTTTGACAAATTGTGTTGTCCAGACAGTATATAAGTAATGCTACTTCAGATATTAAGTTAGAATTGGGAGCTGCCCCTTTAATAAAGAAACTTTGTATGGAAGCTTTTGTAAAGTTACCTGTCTATCTTTATATTCAGCCAGCCAATTAAAAGACAGAACAGGTAACTCTACAAAGGCTTCCATACAAAGTTTTTTTTATTGGTTCACAAGGCATCCTCAAATATAACTCACAGTTACGTCGAGATTCATCTTAATGTCCAATTTGCACAGATGACTTCATAGTGTCAAAGAATAGTGATCTTTCACCCCATAATGAAGGAGCAAGGGGGTGAGACACCAGCATGCTGCTGGGGTCCAGGAAAGAGTGAAGGAAACACCCCCAACCCAACCAAGGGTAAATTCAGTGAACAATCAGGATTACAGATGTAACCACATGACATGAACTACATTTCCCAGGATGCATTAACTACATTTACCATGAGGCATTCCTTTAAGGGGGCAGCTCCCAATTCTAACTTAACTATCTCAATATAAATGCTAAAAGAAACAATAAGTTTCCAATTTGAATTTATTTTGAGTTTTAAGACAAAATCATAACAAGGTAAATGATACAGCATGTGTCTCTCTCTTTTTTAGGTTCCTAGGTGCACCCAAATTTGTGCCCATGTTTTTTTCCTTCTATGTCTGGGAAGGAGAGGAAACATGAAGTTTTAGATAGTAAAATGGTCGCTTTGGAAGCGTGTGATCCCTCAAGTTCCTCCCAATTATTGAGCACACCCACTCATAGCCCAGGTGCTGAATCTGTTGCATCTTGTTGAGAAAGACTAGTCAGGAAAGGAAGTCTAGTACAAGAGAATTGACTGAAACAAGGTTCCTAGGCAGAGCTGTTTCGAAGCAGCGCCTTTTGAAGGACCTGATCTTTCTTCGCTGTGGTTTCACTTCCCATTTTCTGCAGGGCAGAGAGAGAAAGCACTAGAGGGGGAACTGGCTTCTATGTGGCTTCCAAGTAACTTGGTGCCTGAATCAAAGGAAGTTTCTCCCATTTCTGCTTTAGCCAGTTCATGTCTGTGTATTCCTTGTTTCCTAACATTATTTGTGGATGTAACTTCACAATGATTGTAGCACAAGTAATGTTTTTTACTTGATAGCAAGTTAGAAAA